TTATGAAAAACGTTGTATAAAAGTTTTACTAAGTATTTCAGGTAGTATAGTTTTTTGAGGAGGGGAGGGGTGGGGGCAGTGGGTACAGTCTATTATTTATTTTAATATCATATTAACGAAATATATATATATATATACTGTATATACAGTATATAGTAATAAAATATAATTGTTTTTAAAATGCTTAAATGTTTATCATAAATAACTATAAAATTATTATTATTTGTTAATATATATATATATATATACTGTATAAATATAATTCAATGTATTAATAAACAAACATTTTTACTATTTTTTTTAATTCTACAGTAAATATATTGATTGATATAAAATCTTTTATATATATATATATAATATATATGTTTATTAGTATATATTATAATATTATATATACYTTGCTTTAAGTTATGTATTTTAAAAATTTYGTTATTAATATACAWATTAATAAAATATATTWAATAAAACAATTTTTACTAAACTGTATTTATACTATTTTTATTATTAAAGAAAATTAACACTATTTTTTAAATTGCTTAAATGTAAAGCATAAATAATAATACAATTRTTATTATTATTATTTGTTTATTTATAAATTTAATAAATTTTAATATTTATTTTCTAATATTAATTATACTTTATTTTGTATGCTAATGTATTTTTTTGATAATATATAATAATAATAATAATACTGCAGTAGTAGTAAATAGTAATAGTAATTAACTGACTATTTGATTAAAAATATAGTGATGTTATTATAATTATTAAAACAGTATATCATAGACATACACACAAACWTAAACAATAAGTTTWTTAAAAATACAGTTTTTTTACTTTTTAAATAGTTTAGTCAAAACMATATATCAAATATATAACACAACCGATGCTATTGTTGTCCYAAACCAACTCTGAKACCTAACTGACCCAATGATATATATTTTATATTTATATTAACTTTTTCTCTATAATATAGAGTCAATATATTAAMAGTTTATTATTTATTTTATTAACAAATTGACGAAATATATATAAATATATATTAATAAAATATAATTAATTTAATAATGCTTAAAAGTTTAGCATAAATAATTATAAAATTATAATTATTTGGAGATTATATATAGCCCATATACTGTATTATATATATATATATATATATATATATATATATATATATATATATATTGTATTTTATATATTCTGTAGTATATATATATATATATATAGTTTAAATATAATTCAATATATTAATAAATAAAATTTTTACTACTTTTATATTACTATTTATATTGATTGATATAAAACCTTTATATATATATATATATATTAGTATATATATTATAAAATTATATATACTTTGCTTTAAGTTATGTATTGTAAAAATTTCGTGTGAAATATACATATTAATCAAAATATATTAAATAAAAGACTCAGTTGTATAATAATATTAATAAATATAGTTATGTTATGATAGCAACAGGTTATGAGTAAGTAATTGTAAGATAGTGTCGTCTATATTACTGTAACTACTGGTAGTATAGTTTTTTAAGGCCAACCCGTGGCAGCTATACTATACAAAACCTTTTTTTCCTAATATTAATTATACTATATTTTGTTTGTTAAAGTATTTTTTTTAAAAAATATATATATATATAAGGCTCAGTAGTACAGTATAATAATAGCAATAATAATGAAAATAGTTTAGTAGTAGTAATAGTAATTGAGTGACTATTTCACAAAAAATATATTGTTATTATTATTATTATTATTATTATTATAATTGTTATATCATAGACATACAGTCAAACATTAATAAGAAGTTTAGTTAAATACAATTTATTTACTTTTCAAATAGTTTAGTCAAACATATATACAATTTTAATAATAATTATTATGATTATTATTGTAAATATATAACAAAAAGCGATGCTATTGTTGTCCCAAACAAATACTGAGACCTAACTGATTCAATGATATATATTTTTATTAACTATATTTCTATAATATAGACTCTATATACTAACAATCTATTATTTATTTTAATATCATATTTACAATATATATATATATATATATATTAATAAAATCTAATTGTTTTAATAATGTTTAAATGTTTAACATAAATAACTAAAAAAAGTTATTATTATTTGTTCATAATATATATATATATACTGTATTATATATACTGTATTATATATGGAAGGTAGTGGGTACTTACTTGAGTGCACTAATGGCCCTCAAATTGTGATGGACTATTACCGGTCAATATGACTGATCCGCTTAACACTACACTTGACCTTAAAAAATAAAATTATTATTAAATATCTAAATTTAAGACTCAGTAGCATAATAACAATAATATTAAAAAATACTTTAGTAGTAGTAATAGTAATTGACTGATTATTTCACAAAAATATATTGTTGTTGTTTTTATTATTATTATAACTGTATATCATAGACATATACACACAAACTTAAACAATATTTATTTTTTAAATAATTTAGTCAATCATATATCAAATTATAATAATAATAATTATTATTATTGTAAATATATAACACAACCGATGCTATTGTTGTCCAAAACTAACTCTGAGACCAAACTGACTAAATAATATAAATTTATATATTGTATTATATATACTATATTATATATACTGTAATATATATATACTATATTATATATATATACTGTATTTTATATATTCTGTATTATATATAGTTTAAATATAATTCAATATATTAATAAACAAAAATTTTTACTCCTTTTTTATTACTATATATATATTGATTTATATAAAACATATATATATATTAGTATATATTAGTATAAAATTATATATACTTTGCTTTAAGTTATGTATTGTAAAAATTTCGTGTGAAATATACATATTAATAAAAAATATATTATATAAAACAATTTTTACTACATTGTATTTATTTTATCTGTATTATTGACTAAAGTTAATACTAATTTGTTTTAAATATTGCTTAAATGCATGTATTTGTCTATTTATAAATGTAATAAATTTTAATATTTTTTTCGGCTGTATAGAAATATTAATCGCGTGCCAACACGTGGCAGCTATACTATACAAAACTCTTTTTTTCTAATATTAATTATACTGTATTTTGTATGTTAAAGTAATTTTTTATATATATATATTTAAGGCTCAGTAGTTCAGTATAATAATAACAATAATAATGAAAATTGTTTAGTAGTAATAGTAATTGACTGACTATTTTACAAAAAATATATTGTTATTGTTATTATTATTATTATAACTGTTATATCATAGACATAGAGACAAACATTAACAACAAAAAAAGTATAAATAATACAATTTAGTTACTTTTCAAATAGTTTAGTCAAACTTATATACAATAATTATATATATATATTGTAAATATATAACAAAACCGATGCTATTGTTGTCCCAAACCAACACTGAGACCTAACTGACTCAATGATATATATTTTATATTTTTATTACCTATTTCTCTATAATATAGACTCTATATAATAGAGTACTCTATATACTAATAAAATATAATTGTTTTAAAAAATACTTAAATGTTTAGCATAAATAATAATAAAATTATTATTAATTGTTTATTACATATATATATATACTTTATTATATATATATTATAAATATAATTCAATTTTTACTCCTTTTTATTACTATATATATTGATTGATATAAAAACTTATATATATATATTAGTATATATTATAAAATTATATATACTTTGCTTTAAATTTGAAAAAATTTCGTGATTAATATACATATTAATAAAATATATTATATAAAACAATTTTTACTAAATTGAATTTATTTTATTTGTATTATTGACTAAAATTAATACTAATCTGTCTTAAATACTTAAATACTGTCTTAGTACTTAAATATTATACATAAATAATAATAAAATTATTATTATTATTTGTTTATTTGTATATGTAATAAATTTTAATATTTATTTTGGTATAATATTAATTATACTGTATTTTGTATGTTATAATTATTTTTTGTTTAAATTGTATTTATTAATAAAAATATTGCTTTTTTCTTAAAGTTATTATTAAATTTTATGATAAAATATATAATAATTAAATATTTATTGTAAATATAATAAACAGACACTATATACTGTATATTAATATATTATTATTTTATTGTACAATAATATAAACTAAACTATTTATTAACAAAAATTATGACTCTATTTAATAAAGTAAACAGATTTTCAGTAAAATATATTTAATAATAAAACTTTTTTTTGTTGTTGATATACTGTAGACATGCCGTATAGACAGCCTATGGATGTCTAACCCATTCATTCATTACTAATTGATAGACATATCCATAAAAAAATATTAATTGTTTGCTAAAAAAATCTCTCTCTCTCTCTCTCTCTCTCTCTATATATATATATCTCTATATACTGTATATATATATATTTCGCTCTGAGTCGCGGTCTGGCATTGATAGCGTTTGGCAGAGAAAACATAGTCTATCCGCCGATTAGCACACAGTTTGGCTATTGGGACGGTTGGGCTAGAAATTGGCTAACATTTAATAAGACTAAACACTATACGGATGATTGGATTGGACTAAAACAATTGGACCTGAATGGCCTAGTTCAATTTTATACAATTGCTAACAAAACCCATATGTCTATACCGGATGATTTTATTTATGATAAATTTTTACAATTTTTATAAACATTTTTTTATTTTTGTTTTAAATAGTATTTATTATTATGAATTAAATTATAAAAAATAAATATAATTTAATATGAAATTAATATTTATTGATAAGTAATAATAATTATTATAATAATTACTTTTTTTTATAAATAACACTAAATTTTCTATATATAAGTTTATTTATTGAAACAAAAAATTTAAAAATAAAATTAAAATGTTTAATTAAAAAAAATAATAATAAAATCTTATGTTTGTTTGTTTGATTGGGTGATACATAATAATCATATCACACTTGAAATGCAACAATAGTTAAATCAGATATTGTTATTGTTATAAAACTACCCGTTTTGGGCATACAATAGCAATCAGCTAAATAAGTCCTGAAAGCAAACACGTGCCACGTGTTACTATTATCGGACACACGTTTGGACAGCTGTTTGCTAATCAATTTGACTAATTGTGTTAAACTGGTCGACGATTTGATCCCTTGAAGTACAACCTGTTTGACAATCGCTACGTATTGGTCGCACATATCGCGGCGTTCAACGACCAGTTCAGCCCCGAGTTTACCGCTTTTCAATAGGTTTGCCATCTTTTTGATGTTAATCTTGATATTTAATTGAAAACAAATAATTTAATTAATTAATTAATTAAACAATTATTGAAATTAATAGTTTGTTTAAAAACAAATACTAAATGAAAAAAAACTAAATATTATTACTTTAAAACAAACAAAAAAAATTTATACGAAAACTCAATTAACTTATAGAAAGTTACTCTTATATAATGTATTAATATATTTAAGTTAGACTAGAGTTATAAACCAAATAAAAAAAACTTAACTATAATTTTGGTTTCGGTTTATTTTATAATTATTTATTTTATTTTTAATTAGTTAACTGTTAAATATACTATCTATTAATATTAATATTAATAAACTATTACTATTATGGATATATAAGTTATATTATCATAAAAATAATTAATACTAACATCATCGTAAACTTTATGGACAGTTAGCTTCAATTTGCCCCCATATTGTATGACCACAATAAACTGGTCATCGTATGTAAATGAATGGCTACCTATATCAGCGTATAGGACTGTACAGTGCCATAGACCGTCCATTTCCGACTCAACCCCACGTTTGATTGATTGACATAAATCATTGAAACTAAGTTCACTTAGCAGGGCTTCTCCAGCTAACTGGACTATCCTAGTGGTCATCTCAGGTACGGTTGACCGGCTATTGACTACCGGTGCGGTGATATGGAGTCGGGCTTCACATATAATCTGATAGTCGGTTAACTAAACAACAAAAAAATCAAAAATAAAACAGTTATAAATCATAATAATAATTGATATAATAATTATTAATATAATTATAATTGATATAATAATTATTAATATAATAATAATTGATATAATAATTATTAATATAATAATAATTGATATAATAATTATTTTTTTATAGATAACTATTACATACTTTTATATCATTTGTTAATTTAATTAAATCACAATTTGTATTATCATTATTATTAGTATTATTATTGAAATTAATTGATAGCCTATGGATTGTATTCATAAGTAATTGTTTTTCTTTTTTACAATCAATTAGTTGTTGTCTTATTAGTTGATTATCGCCGGCAATGGTCTGTATGTCATCTTTGAGTCCATGGTTTACATTCAGCAAACTGTCCACACAATTATGACTATCAGTATTATTATTATCATTGTATGTAATAATATTTGTATGACATTTGCGGCATATGATTAGATTATATGGACATAGCTGTATGTGCTGGTCGTATGCATCCAATTGTAGCACCTGTTGACATCCCTGTGCTCTGTAAGTGCATACTAGCTTCAAGTTAGACAACATATTTATCAATAATCTATACATTTTTAAGAAATAAAATTGTATGTTTTAATATTTATTTTAAAAAAATAAAATTATTAGTATTTAGATAAATAAATTTTACTATAAATAATATATTTATAAGTTTTAATATAATAATATTATATATATATATAATAATATAAGTTTATTAGTTTATAGTAAGTTTGCTATTTAAAAAAAATTATATATTAAAATTATTTATAAATTTTATCTAGCTAATAAATTAAATAATTATTTTTTAAAATCTATTTATACTTAATAATTAGTTTTTAAAAATAATAATACAACATTTTTATAGGTAATTTATAATCAGTAGTAATTATAATTTAATTTTTTAAAAATATTATTAACTATTAATTCTATAGCTATTAGTAACTATTATATAATTGCATATAATTTTTTAAAAATATATATAAATATTAATTATTTTTATTAATTTTTTAATTAGTAATTACCTGGGTGGTTGTGTTAGGCCATTTGATTTTAATTTTTTCCTATCATAAGGACAGGTATTAGTTTTGCTCAGCCAATCGGCGATACAATTTTGGCAAAATGTTTGACGACAACAAACGGCAACTACCGGTTCCCGAAATATACCGAAACATATACTACAGGTTAGTTCACTTTTTTCACTGGGGGTTAACTCTATGAAATTGTCCAAATCATAACCGGGCATTATTATTATTATTATTAGCTATCTAATTTATTTATAAAAAAGTAATATTATATTATTAATATTATTAGCTAGCTAATTTATTTATAAAAAAGTAATATTATATTATTAATATTATTAGCTAGCTAATTTATTTATAAAAAAAATAATATTATATTATTAATATTATTTGCTAGCTAATTTATTTTAAAATACTAATATTATTATGTATTTTTTAGTAATAAAATAACAATAACAACTAGAAAAAAACTATCTAATAAACAATAGCGTCTATTTATACCCCTGTATATTATAATTTACAATATATTTTTTTGTATTATTATTATTATTATTTTCAATAAATTTCAAACACGGATGTGTACTGTATATTGTACTGTAAATATTGTATATATTATCAACAATAAAAAAATGATAGTCACTATCATTATTAGATAATTGCTTTAGTTTTATCTAATAATTTAGTTTAGTATTTCATAAATGTAGTCATAATATATACAAAATGTGGTTTATATATAATATACTGTTGTAATAATATTAATTGTTAGAAATATATATATATATATATATATTAAAAAATATAACATTTATTATTATTATCATCATCAAAGATTAACCAGTTATTAACGGTTTAAGTAATAATAATAATAATAATAATTACTATAAGTATCTATAACTGTTACTAATAATTATCAATAATAATAATTATTGAATATTTTTGTTGTTGTTGTTTTATAATGTAATAAATTTATATTATTTTCTCAAAAAAAAAATAATAATATTAAATTATTACTGTTAAAGTATTATTATTATTAATACTATTATTATTAATAATGTTTTAAAAAAAATTACATTGAAATTTTTAAACATAATTTCTAGTAATATTTTTCAATTAAATAGATATTATTATAATATATTTATTATTATTTTTTAAAATTATTGATAATTTTATTATTAGTAAAATAATTAATAATAAAGGTATTACTACAATAGTAATAATTGGCATTTATTAATAAATAAGTCAATAGTTTATTTGTATATTGAATTAATTAGTTATCAAAGATAATGTATAGATTTATATATATATAAATAATTTATAACTAATTTGTATTAATATTATTACTACAGTAAGTATTATATTAGTCATAATTTCTTAATAATTTAACAAAAAAATTAATTAATAATTTAAACTTAACAATAAAATTATAGATATAATCTCAAGTTAATACTATTTTACTAATAAAATTTTTTATGTAATATTGTTGAGTATATTGATTTATGATTTTTATTGTAACTTAGTTATTAAAATATAAAATTTTTATACATAAAAAAATAAAAACTTATGATTATAATAATGTAATAAATGTTATAAATAAATAACCTGGATATTGTATTTTTTTTATATATATATAACTTTGTAAATTAATATATTATACAAAAAAATTAACTATAAAAACAATTATTATAATTTAATCTATGATATAAAATTTAAAAAAACTATAATATATTTTTTTAAATACAGTAATTAAATAAATTAAATAATTTCTTAAGTATTATAATTATATGTATTTATTAATATTATTTTTTTGATAATTATTATAAAAAGATAATATATATACCGGTATATATTGTTAATAATTAATTAATGTATAATAATTACTGATTAATTGATTATATAAACAATAGTGAGTATAATAATAAAAATTAATCAAATTTAATTTAATTTTTTTAATTTGCGGTAATTTTTTTAATTACATATATACGGTATATACATGTATATATAAGATTATATAATAAACTGTAGCTTTATATCAATATTTAAAACTTATCAACTTTTAAAATATATTGCAATATTTCAATACATGTATATGACTTTATTAACTGTAAATAATTATGAAATACTAATTGCATTCAATAAAATGATATCTATCATCATTATTAATTAGTATAATTTAATTTAAAATTATATACATATATATATATGATATACAGGTACTTTATATAGTTTATACTAGATTTTATATTATAGTTATTAAAAACTATTAATTAACACTGATTAGTAATAATGTGCGATAATATTAATAAATGATAAATTATTTTTTCAAAAAAAAATAAGAAATATCAAATTAAATTAAAAGCCGCTTTTTTTGTGTATTAATAACTTTTATTTATTACATTACTGTACTCAAGTGTTAAAGTTAAATAATAATAAATTTTTTTAAATAAATTTTAAAAAATATGTCTATTTGTGATTATCTATTAAATAAGTTTTCATTGACTAAATATATACCAAATCAACTAAAATATCAAATAAAACTCATTCATTGTAACGGCGGAAATGTATGGTTGGTTACAGAGACGGATAACCGGGTCTATGGATTGGGCGATAACCAGTCGGGTATACTAGGGTTGGGTCATAACCTAATGATAACGAAACCCGAATTAATACCCGAATTATCCGGAAAAATGGTTCAGAAATTTATTATCGGTTCAAACTATGCATTATGTTTAACAAGTAGTAATAAAAAACAATTAATATATAGTTGGGGTTTGAATGAAAAATGTCAATTGGGTAGACCTACTATGGATTATTATAGTAGACCAGCTATTATTACATACCTGACCAACAAATGTATAATCGATATCAAATGTGGTTCACATCATACACTTGTACTGACCATTGATGGGACTGTCTATGGATGGGGTCATAATAGTGATGGACAGTGCGGTTTGGGACAACCAAACAATAATAGTCAATATATTGATAGCCCGACTTGTATTGAAATATTACCGGAAAATATTAAATCAATATATTGTTATAATTGTAGTTCATTTGCCGTAACCAGTGATAGCCGGGTATATAGTTGGGGTAATAATCAATATAATCAATTGGGACATAAAAATAATAATAATAACTTAAATAATAATAATTTTAATTATTTTCAACCAAAACTTATTGATAGTATTGATAATATAAAATCTCTATCACATGTCTATCAAAATTATTTGAATTATTATTATAATATAATAACATATTTCATAACAATTGATGGTTATGTTTATCAATGCGGAAAATCTAACAGTAAATCATATGATATGATTAAAAACTATAATATTTTATCAAATGTTGATAATATGTACAATCAGTTTATTGAAAAAACTGGACAAACAAACAAAAATTATTATAAATTAGTTTACGGTTTGAAAACATATAAATTATGTAAATGTTATGGAAATTGTTTAATAGATTTAATTGCCGATGAATTACATAAAACAATGGAAACAATTGATATGAAATTATATATTAGTCGAAAATATTTGGAAATTTTTAAAATATATGACAATCATTATTATCGGAAATATTTTAATCAATTAGATATAATAGGAACGGGAGGTTTCGGTCAGGTATATAAAGTGGATGAAAAAGATACTAATAAATTGTTTGCTATCAAACAAATTCAATTTAAAGGTAATTAAACATTTTTAAAAAATGATTACAAAATTAATATATAAATATATATATTTAAATTTATATAAATATATATATTTAAATTTATATAAATATATATATTTAAATTTATATAAATATATATATTTAAATTTATATAAATATATATATTTAAATTTATATAAATATATATATATTTTAATTTATATAAATATATATTATTTCTATATAAGAAATTTAGATATTAAAATTATTTATTTTTTAATAACATATTTTTACTATAAATTTATTTATTATTATTTATATATTGATATATAATATAATAAATTTTTTTAAAATTCAAAATCAGATGACAACGAAAAAAATTTGATCACAAAAGAAATCAAACAATTGTTGAAACTTCAGTCGGATTTTGTTGTAAAATATTTTGATTCGTGGTTTGAATCCAATATTTTTTACATACAAATGGAATTTTGTTCACAAAATCTTAAAGATTTTATTGAA